AGTATGTAGTAGTAGTAGTAGTAGTAGTAGTAGTAGTAGTACTAGTAGTACTAGTAGTACTAGTTGTACTACGAGTACTAGTACTAGTAGTACTACTAGTAGTACTAGTAGTACTAGTAGTACTAGAAGTAGTAGTAGTAGTAGTAGTAGTAGTAGTAGTAATGGTAGCTTAGTTATGGTTAGTCATTGCTGTTGTGGTTGCGGTTATTGTTGAACTTGTCGTTGTCGTTGCTGCTCGTGTTGCTTTTGCTACTACTACCGTTACTATCATCGCTATTATTGTTTCTATCGTTGTTATGTTGTGTATGTTCTTGTTGTTCTTATCAACTAGTATACAAGTAGTATTTTGTCATTCGTGAACAACAACAGTGCGTACATGCAAGATATCCACTGTCGTTTGTCATTGTCTCGCAAGACACAGTTGCCAGCGCGGTTTAAGGCTGTGGCAGAGAGCAGTTGATAATCAGAAAATCGATTTTCTGCGGCTTGACCTCGGGCCCCCGGAAGCGAAGTCGTCCGGCAAGATCAAGTTGACTGCTGATGAATGACTGAAACCGGCGCCACTTCATGAAGAAGACAGAGGATGATTCTTCTACTGCTGCGGCTGCAGCTCTGGGATGTTGGCCATGTTTGTGGTCGGAGTTGGAGGGCTGGCTGCAATGCGCAGGATGCTCTGAGAACTAGGCCCGTGTGCGCTTGAGCAGCTCCGTAACCAGCTCAAAAATCCTGGGCCGGGCCACCGCTCCAAAAAAAAGCATCTAATTAGTAACACGCCGTAGAGTTTCCGCGAAGCCGAGCGACACTATGTGCGCTTCGTCGCGTGCTGCCTCCATGTCGCACTGACCCTGCCCATCACTGCCACTATGGGTTTCGGGATCCGGGTGTTGAGGGAAGTCTTCTCCAGCGTCCTACTGTAGTGGTCCTAACCAACTGCTGAAGCCCGGCCCGAGCTGCAAATTCACTACGCACTGCAGAGAACCCCCCCAGCCACAGATCGACTTGTTGTAACGCTTCAGGTTTCGGGTCGATTGAGTCTCTCTTTTTGACACCTTTCTCCGACGGTGTAAAAGGGCCCAATCGACCTAAGTCTTTCGTTTAGGGCTCGGTTAAGCCATTCCGTCCCTTCTCGGCCTTGGTCATGCCATCCTTGGATCGTAGACTGCCTGATATGCGAATCCAGTGGGTTTAGGGTTTATAATATTTTAGAATGGGGTTTAGGGCTTCGGCGCTCACACTGGGACACTCCAGTCGAGGCATGTGGTTCGAGGTCTGGCTGAAGTGAAACTCATCGAAGCGAGTCAGTGGAGCTCAAGGGTTTCGACTCACACACGCGCTCAAAGCAACAGACGTCCCGAGCCCTTGAGCTTAGGGCCTATATAGGGTTCTCCTACACCGAATTATTCCCTGTGCTTGTCCGCTCGCGCCTGGCGGCCAGTGGGTGGACTCGCCTGCTTCCGTGAAGCCGCAGTTCATGGACAACATGCAACTTTTTGCGGTTTTGCTCACCAGGCACCGAGACGGAAGACCGGATCTTCTCCACCGAATCCGAAAGCGATGACCGATTCTTAGAAGCTCTTCTATGAAACTTGAAAGCCTAGTACAGTAGGTGCTTCAGGCTTTCGCATGTCTTTCCCGTCAGCATGCATGAAAACTAAAAAGCCCTCCCTAATTATTACACTACCCGCCAGAAGAATCTTGTGAAGAATTGAGTAGATCCTCGCTTGCCTGTGCCAGAGCTGTCCAGAATGCGCTCCTGGAACTCCATGGAGCTGTCCTGACTTCCGGCACCCATACCAGCTGAAGCTTCAGGAAAAAATATTCAGGTGATGGCGAGATTCGTTGAAACAGCCCTGCGCCCGCATCATTTTCAGCACTTCTTCTCTGCTCACCTGCGGGCAGACGCAAAGCAGGAAGCCAAGTTCTTTCTGAAGCAGTGCCAAATGGCAGTGGTGACTGCCGCGTCAGTTGCACTTTCCATTCTCTGCTTCAAAGGAGAGGGCGCCCTGCCTGCCACTCCTGTGGCGGCTTGAAAACGATGTTGTCCAAGCCTGCAAGTCTCCGGCCCATGGTCAACCACAGCCCTGCAGACTAGCGCTCACTTCCGAACTTCTGAGGAGTCTGCAGTAGATGGACGACTTGTGCTGGCTGGCATACGCAACGATTAACGCTGCTGCGCCGATCACCTCCCAGATTCTACGAAGCCGCAAGGCACGAGGCAGGGCAGGTTCATTCAAACGCTGCTGCTGGCGATCCCCTATCATCATGTGAAGAAGATCTTCGCAACCCCATGTTGCAGAATTCAAGTGCCAAGCTTACAGATCCAGTTGCAGAAGTCATGTAGTGCTGAAGCCCGCACCCGAAGGTACAGACCGATCTTTACTCAAAAGCTGGCCTGCATCATCAGTGGGTCCTGAAGCATCGACCAAACTCGCATCAGCTCATCCAAGCGCCACATGTACAGCCGGTAGGCCAGGAGAACGCCAACCTTGGTCGTTCGTGCTGTCCAGCATGCCGTCGTCAACAAACTATCTATTATCTACCATGGCAGCCGAAACCACCGACATAAGCATCATGAGCATCAGCATACTCATCAGCAGCATCGCTGATCATTTCGATGGCCGGAACGGACCGCCGCACTCATCGGAAGAGATTGTCAGAAGGAATTGTGGCGACAAGAAAACCATCTCAACGACTGGCGGTCCGATGCATCCACAGCTGCAAGTGGTTTGATGACTTCCAGCTTCCTGTCTCTGTGCGTCCAAGCGGCAGCGGCAATGGAAAACCCGTATGCATATGGCAAGTACTCTGCCAAGAAAACATAGGACCAGTTGATGGTCCTTAGAAGCCAAAGGCGAAGTCTGTTTCAAGCCGGCGTCCATGAACCTAGAAAACCAGGATCCCAAAGCGAGACCCTTGCTTCAAACAGTCTACATGTGCTGAGGCGTCGTGGCTATGTCCAGCCAGGAGTCCGAATTCGCAGGGACTTCGGCTCCCAATAGTAGACCTGAACAGAAGGATTTAGGTTTTTCTTGCCTCCTACTTAGCAAGGACGAGAGGGTTTAGGGTTTAGGGTTGACAGGCTCGGTCCTCACAAGAAGGCTCCCCTCTTCAAGCTCACTCTTGACAGTACAGAAAGCATCCTCCGGCGCAACTGCAGAAGGGTCTGCTCTCCGAGCGTAAGGACCCCGCATCTTTCACCACATGTCCCAAGTTGCTGCCAATGCTAATGGATCGCCTCAGCTCACAAGATCTTGCGAGGACCAACGGGCGCCGAAAAGAGCAAGGGGAACACGACACATCCAGAGGGCTTGGCCTTCTTCAAACAAGCTTAGGTCTTAGGTCTCCTATGAAGTGCTTGTGGGCCGCTTCCGCAAGTCAAAGTCCTGGAGGTCGGTGGCAAGCTTGCCTTCTCAGAGACAGGGTCGACATCTGCAAGTCAGCAGCACCAACAACTCTTGTTTCGCATTGTGGCGTTGTTATCTCTTTTGAGGGGATCGCTAATGATGTTAATGTAAGCTACTAAGCGGGTACCGCAAGTACTCTATGGTTACCACACTAGTACAATCGGAACTGCCAAGATTTCAATGCATCCTTGCCTTGCCTCCCAGCAGTCTGTGGGCTAGGCTGGTCATGGGAGAAAAGACCACAACCTGGGAACATCTATGGCAAGCTGGGCGTCATAGTTCCCAGAGGTTCCAAAAGTAAAGGAACGCTGAAGTAATGTAACATTACCAAAAGCAGTGCTATGACAGTGGAAATCGCCGTAAATGTGATCATCATGGAGAAGGTGTGTGGCTTGAGCGGAAACATGCGAACCATTCCCCGAATCATCCTTGCTCCTCCTTTGAAAACCTTTGAAACATACCAGCGAATGGCCCATTGGCATTGGCACTTGGCAACTTCTTCCTCTTCTTCTTCAACGTTGCACTAACCTGACTACGCGCCTGGGAACAACGATTCCAGACTCCCAAACCATGCTCGATTGCAATCCCGCTGCAGTCAGAAATCAGGCTGCCGCTGCGCCGTGTTCTCAAAAACTAGGGGTTGCGGAAGGCAAGCACAAACATTGGATGCTGGGCTTTCCTCGCCTTTCTCCGACTTTTCCCCTTTAACATTATGCGAGCGTAGATCCCCAGGTCTTGGGGCCACCACCGGCAGACTAGAAACCATCCGGAGCATCACGGCCAAAAAGGGCCCCACACTGGGGATGCAAACACATGACCAACATCAAAATGCTTCAACCATGTAATGCCGCAATCCGAGGTGACTGGCAGAAAACCGGCCAAAATGCTTTCCCAAATGAATTCTGAATTGATCAGACCCAAATCGCTGGGAGTCCAAAATGAGGCCAATGTATAATCACCCTTTCCGGAGGACGCGGCGGCAACGGGACTATGTAAACAATGGGACATGGGTGCAAGTTACCATGCCAAAGCAGGAGGACGGAACATAGTCCGCATGCGAATCGGGAGCGCCTCACGGAAACACTAAGCAATTTCTTCACTCAGGACGAAAATGCCCAACAGTGTTTACAAGTTTGTGCCACACTGTGTGGGGAACGCTCAAACTCACGGCAGTACGCCGATCCGGCACACACATCTCGCTCCCTCGCATGCCTCCGCCCTCGACATCATCCCCACTGCCCAAATACCTCGACCACAGCCCGTACTCTGACACACAAACGAACATGCCTCTACACCATCGCCCCTGGAAATATGTATACGTGTGTGTATATATATATATACATATATATATATATATATATATACACATATATATATATATATATTGATTGCAAGGGCTCCTGATTTCCTGACATCTCAGGCCAAGGCTTTTTGCGACGCCTCTTAGGCCACTGGGTACCAGAAGGCAAACGCCGCAAACGCCGTGCTCTGGAGCAACTTGAATCTTTCTAGGTGGGGGTGCAACTTCTTTCGGCCATGTGAGCATCTTCCCTGATACTTAGGCTCATGCTTCCACGCTTCGTGCCAATGCCTAGTTCGAGCCACAAGAAGAACAGCACGCGCTTTCAAGCCACTGCACCAACAAAGGTTCCGTTCGCGGAACTATTTCGCATGCTACTACCCCAGCAGGCTCTGACGCTTCATTCCCTGTTTAAGCACCCTTAGAGAGTTTCCTGGGGTACCCGAAACCTGTTGCCAGCCGAGCATTTCCGCCTAGTCTCTGCCAGGTCCTGCTGGTTGAAGCCTGAAGAAGCAAGACTCAAAAATTGGACAGGCCGCCAAGACTCTTGGTGGGAGAAAGACGGTACAGTCAGCAAAGAGGGCACCTTAAATGGAGCCTCCGCCCAAAGGGGTCCCGGATTTTCAGAAAGTTTTCATGCCGGGGGCCGTGCTGTTCAACTGGGCCGCCCCCTGCGTCGCAAGCGAAGTCGGCGAAAGTTCGCCTGCTGAGAGAACCACTGCAAAAAAAGGTCAAGATTTCTTGTAGTTGCTGATATCGCTGGTGGACAAGCCCTTGCTTATTATGCATACGCCCTCATTGCTGTGAAGCGCGACTGCGCTCTGTTCTACATGTTGGAGGCGGGGGTGCAAAAGCTCTTCATGCTCGTCTGACTCTCTGGTTCGTACCTTTACTTTGTTTGTTGGTCACTGCTTTGGAGCCCGGCATCTTCATTGCTTGGGATATCAACAAGAGGCATCGAAACACAGGCACTGGGAAACCTAACATGTCGTCACAGCACCCACATGGAGGATGAAGCAGAAATCCACCGAGTCGAATATGACCTACTGGTCAGAACCGTGGCTTGGCTTTAAGATGGCTTGCCGGGTGATCCCAGGGAGTTTCAGAAAATATGGAACCTGATGTAGAACACCAGATAGCGGAATCCTCTTCAAACTGCCACATCATAAGTGCCCCTTAATGACAGCTCCTTGATGAGGAGGTACCCCGGCCTCAGCTCTCAAGAATCCCCCAAAACTCGATCCCCTATTCACAGTCATGCTCGCTTTCAGCTAGCGCCTCGGAGCTGCGAAACGCTGGGATCCCAGGATCTGTTTGCCAACTCCTGGTCAATGAAACAACCCAGGAGTGCTGGCGGCGGTATTCTGCAAGCTCCGAAATGGATTTGTAGAACGTTGGCTCAAAGTTGAAAGAAATCCCTGAATGAATGTGTAGATAATGTGTATATATATATATATATGTGTGTGTGTGTGTATATATATATATGTATATATAGTTTCAGTATGAGTATAAGTAGATCTACATATATATATATATATATAAGTATAAGCATATATATATATATATATATTTAAGCATATATATATATATATGTGTGTGTGTGTGTATATATATATACTGTATATGCATCATTCGCCGCATGGGCCGGATCTTGCAATGCCTTGAAAGGAGGCCCACGGTTGTCATTGCCAGTAGCCATTGGGCAAGAGAGCGATAAACACGTTGACATGTCAAGGACTCCACCTTCCGTGTTGAGCTTCTGTGATCCTCAAAGAAGCCCTTAAAAAGAACCCTTCCTGCTACGATACCCCCAAACGCTGGCAGCTTTGCTTGGGGGCCTGTGCCCGGGGATCCGCCCTCCGTGCTTGCGCTGCTGGCGCGGCGAGTGCCGGAGTGGAGCCGGGCCGCGGGGCCGTCGAAGCTCGAGCTGATCGCCAGAAAGGTTTCGACTTTTGCTTTTTTTTTTTGACACCTCTTTCCGACTGCATGAATGCTTGGTTTATTTAGGGTTCAGGGTTTCGACTCGCACACTCGCACAGGGCAGGCACGGATTCATGGGTCGGCATTGCTACTGTGACATGGCAGCAACACGTGAGCTGCACGACAGTACAGCAGACAGGTTTACACTCACAGCAGACAGGTTTTTTTTTTAGGATTACAGTTTGGGGTTCCGACGCGACCAGTAATCCGGACGAAATGTACTTTAGAGAGCCTGAGGTTTGCTTTGACTCGGGCATAGAAAACTCGCGTCAGTGGCAGTGGGAAGACCCAGCCTGCGTTTGCCAGTCCCTGTGGGACGGGCTAAGAGGCAATGAGAGCGGCGCGGGCACCCACCTTGGGCGTACATACAGAGAAACGCACAACAGATCTACCAGTCGAAGTGATACAGTCAATTGTGACGGTGCAGAATAAGATTCGGCGCGGGAAAATGTCAATGGAATTGTGTGATTATGAACCGATGTGCCTTATACGTATGCACACAGCGCTAGCCACCAGGTCTGTTTGGCGAGAGTAGAGCTTCAGAGCGGAAATGGGAAGGTAGATCAACCTCCCCACCTGCTCCAATGAAAGTTGGCTCGTCTGCTTCGAAGTCCTGTAGGTCTGCACCACATTCGATGCATCCTGGTCCAGAAAGATGGCCAAGCAGGACAGGACAGGAGCAGTATTATATATCAGTGTTCGTGTGGCTTCGGGCGCGGACTCTGTTCTGCGCTGTAGGCATGTCACATTCGGATGACGAAATACTGTCTGGACTTCACACTAGCACTGCGTCGCTTCGTCCAGCTATCACATCCAAAAGGGCACATCCGAAGAGGCCAGATTCTCAATTTCAGCTGGTGTATTTGCAAACTTCCACCCCACCCCCCGGCCTGCTCACCAAGCTATCCGGCTCACGGAAAGGCTGCCTTAAGCATCTTCAGTCGAACGAAGAGGGCAGCTGACCAGACGTACCAAGAGCATCCAAGAGCTGCGCACTCGCAGCTGCATCCATCAAGGGTTCGGCTGAAGCCGACCTTCTCGGTGAGAGCCAACTAGAGATTCGCAGGCTATATAAGCATCACGACACTGCACGCGTGAACAGCTTGGTGGAAGTACGCGTGAACAGCTTGGTGGAAGTGCTTACGACCTGAATCTCAGAGCCGGGCATCTTCGTAACAGACCATGCGACAGTGGACAGGCCTTGCACTGAGCTCGGAGTATCAAGTTAACCACTTCTGCTCATCGCACACGCGACACTGTATCCAGTCGAAAGCATGTGCTGGCATTCGGACCTCGTGCGTCCGAGGCATTGCATCGAGCAGCCTGCAGCGAGCTGCCAAGCGTTGCGGCGAAAGATCGCCGGGATAAGTCACGAAAACGTCCAATGAATATCAGGACATGCCAGCGGAAGCTACTGCATGCATGTGCAGGCGCATAGGCCTAGGCTCGAAACGGAGCCACTATTTGTTGTCAATGTTTCTGTTTGTTTTGCGAATGCGTCTGGTTCTGGTTGGTTTTTAGGGACGAAGGAGTCGTGCCTTTCCTGTCTTTCTGCGGTCCTTCCCTTCTTTCTTTCTGACGTGCCTTTTCTCTCCTTCGTCCTTATAAGCCAACCGAAACCAGAAAGCAACAAACATAAAAAACTACAAAAACACAACGGTACCCGCTCGAAACTGGCAACGTAGCCGTGTGCGCAGGCAGGCTGAGTGGCGATGATTCATTCACGTGTCAGGTGCAGGGTCCGGCCTGAAACGCTATCTTGATCAGCACCTGTCTTCGCAACAACCCAGTTGTCACGGTCACGATGGTGCTGGCTCTCCGTATGACGGAATAATCAAGTGTTGAGTTACAATCAATGTCTATGTGGCTTGCACTGAAAGAACTTGATTGCCGCCAGCAGCAGGTGCGAGCGGGCTGGGTCATTACTCATGCCTGCTCCAGGCCCTCTCGAGCAATACTAGTCCTTGTAGTCGTGGCAGTAGCAGAAGCAGTGACAGTGGGAGCAGAGCAGAAGTCAGCAGAAAGTGGCAGTAGCAAGTACCAAGAACAAAGTCCGACATAGTCCGCAGTACGTTGTAAGAAACCTTGCAGTTTTTCAGGATGTTGCTGTAGCTGTCGCGGCTTGAAGTTCTCGCCATCGCAGCACTGGCACTGGCAATTACAAGAAGGTATCCTCCGCGGACTTGTACTTTCAATACGAGTATACGTGGTAGAACTTATGAAAGCTCCTCGAACGTCGGCTCGAAGTCTGCGATGGCACGACTGGCATCCTGGCGCGGGGACATGTGTGAGTGTGGTGGGGGGGGGCACATTAACATCCGGTCACCGTTGACCGTTGTCTACTTGCCAATCCTACCATCCCACCCAAGACCAGTGAAAAACAAGACAAGGGCTGCGCAAGGGTCTAGGGATTGCCGACTTTGAACACTGCCAACAATGACAAGGGAATGGTGAGAAGCGGAGGAACTCGGGACATATAGTCTAGATCGACTGCGAATGACTGTGTTTCCCACGACGGATCAGTAATCTGACACAGCAGGTCGCACCCGACATCAGGCGAGCTGGTAGAAGACGGAGGCAATCTTCCACTTCGGCAGTGTCTCAGGCGCCCTGCAGACGCTGAGTAAGATACTCTTCTTTCGTTGTCTGATGATACAGACCGAGTATACTGTGAAATTGCCCCCGCCTGAGAGACACACTTAACAGTTCACGAGCCGACTGCGCTGTAGCCGGCCTGATTGAGAATGTCTTCAAAAAGCTCGGTCAGAAAAATAACATGTCCGAACTCACAAGACGCAAACATCTTCGCAGCGAGCACCCGATGCAGAGGGTAAAACGGAAAGTCTGAAGCATTCCGAAGAGATGGCCCTCCTGAAAACGGACAGCAACCCATCCTGGTGGGTGTAAGTCAAATTTCATGTCTCGAGACAGATTTCAGGCAACGAGTGGCTGTTGCCAGTTTTGCGGCTTTTACTGACTGACAGCCGGCCCCCGAAGACATTCCCATAGAGAGCCTTGCAATCTTCGTGCATCCGTAGCACCTAGCCTGTGCGCAGCTCTGAACAAGGTGCTCAAAAGTCACCTGAAGTGTGACCAGCCTTTTTCACCCATCACCTCGCGAACAGCACAGTGTATGCCGTGGAAGCAGCAAGTCCTCGAACTGACAATTGCAACGAAGTCAGCACCAAGCAAGAGCCGGCAGAACTTCCAAGACCAGCGAATGAACGATCAGAGTTACGATGAAAATCCGTGACGGTCCTGTCAAGGGTTCAGCGCGACTTTCTTGTCTTGGTGGTGCACGGGACCTGTCTTGACAAAACTTGTAGGTTATGGCGATTGTGTAGCTCATGCTGACCCTTTGTCGGACCATGAGACTCTCACTTCCACATGCTAGAAGTTATCATCATCTTCATCGCATCCTTCATGCTGATGCATTTGGGCCTGCCACGGCAACTACTAGCTGCGCCGTCGCACCAGCACCACCACCACCACTGCCACCGCTCTACTGCGACTGCTACCACTATGTGATGTTGCTACTTCCCGAGAATCCGCCACCTACTTGGTGCTTGCTACTGCTGTTGCTGCTGATACTACGATGGCGATGAAAATGCTGCTTCTGGTTGTCGAGAGGTCCATTCCATCTACCGGTGATAGCGTCCAGCCACTACGATTTCCCACACGCATGGTTTGAAAGCAGACAGGGGAAGGATCAACAGGCAGCCTTAAGCCTTGAGCAAGACCCACCTGGCTGGAGCGGCGGCGGCTTTGACTGCCTCCATGCAGAGCGGAGCATGCTGCATCATTCCTGCACCTTGAGTCTCTGTTCTGACTGGTCCCTGAAAGTATGCCAAACTGTTCCGGCTGTCGCCCTTTCCTTTCCTGCCTTGAGTCCATGTATCTGGACTTGGCTTCTCGTGGCTGTGGACACAGTACGAAATAGCTCAGCAGCGATCCATCGAGCGGAATGACATTTGCCGCATTCGAGATCTGTTTTGGCCAAAACCGCACGAATCGATTCAGCACTAGCACTCTCGTGCTCGCTGCAAAACTAAGGTGCCCACCTTTGCCACCGAAACCCAATGCCGGAACACGAAGCAGGATTTCCAAGACCGAACAATAGTAATTAGTAATTCTTATGGTCGTGCTCCAAGACATTCTTCCGCCTTACCATGATTCTATTTGGGTGACCTTTCAATAATCTGGTTGTCTGGGCTCGAAAGGTGCTGCACAAGTCTCTGCGGTCATCAAACTTTGCCACTCCATTGTTAGAGATGCCTATGATGTCTTGCCGCTTCCTTCGCCCCAGCAGGTTCGGGCTGGTCGGACTATGCCCACGGCTCAGCTTCAAACCCCCTAAGACTCAGTAGCATTGTTGATAAACCATGGGTGTACGCTATGACACAAGATGAAGCCTCAAGCCTCGAACCTGCTGGGACCTCGCTGCGAGGGTCTCCGAGCCCAAGCGGCAGGTCAAAACCAATCTCCTAAGGGTCAGCCCAACAAAAAAAGTTGCACTGGCATGCCGCGATTGACCGGCAAGCAGAACTCTTCTGCCAACGAGATCTTGTGAAACTCTAACTACGCCTTTGAGATATTGAAAAGCTGTCACGCAACCGGGCACCGGGAATTTCGGGCGTAACCACACAGTATGTTGGATGAATTGTTTTGGTCACCCGCCCCGGAATCCCAGCTGGCCCTACTTGGACGAGCTCCGGGGCAGTGTGTACGCTACGGAAATCTACGGAATGCGATAGCCCAGGCAAAAGGACAAGAGTAACTTGCATCTTGTTTCCTGTCATTGAGACCAGTAACGCAGCCCAGCATCTTCTACTAGATCTCGTTCTATCCAATCTGCTCCGGCCACTCTCCGATCAAGTCGACAACGGCAACGGCGTGTGTCTTGAAACGCCGTCAATTATGCACACGTGCTATCAGATTCAATTGGCTCGGCTCACGTCCGATCACTTTCGATTCCGGTGCGCTTGTCCTTGCTCGGCTTAAGGGGTGTCTAACTTTGGGTTCGAGGTGGAAGACTGGCTGAGGACGGAGCCCTCAACCCTTCAGCCTCGTTGTCCTGGCTGGTTTGGGAGAGCAGCACACAACCAGCCTAACCAGACATGTGCAAACCCAACCCAAACCCAACACCTCAGATCCACTCAAGCATCCAGATGATGGATGGATTCTCTCTAAATGTCACATGCAGTCCTACGGAAGGGATGCGCAGAGCGGATCTTGGGAAGCCATCCTGCATCATGGACACACACACAAAAAAAAATTGTGTTTATTTATTTATATATATATATATATACTGCCATGCACACATGTATGTTTACATCTATAATATACAGATTTATATACATACATATATTTATGTACTTTTTTTGTGCTTATACGTATTTGTGTGTATGTGTGTATGCATGCATGTATATAGGTAGGCAGGTAGGTAGGTAGGTAGGTAGGTAGGTAGGTAGGTAGGTAGGTAGGTTAGGTAGGTTAGGTAGGTTAGGTAGGTTAGGTAGGTTAGGTAGGTTAGGTAGGCAAGGTAGGTTAGGTAGGCAGGTAGGCAGGTAGGCAGGTAGGCAGGTAGGCAGGTAGGCAGGCAGGCAGG